TCCTCTTCCACTCGTCGTTTTCGCCTGTGGAATCCCCTTTGGCGTACGGTCCTTGACCTCCTTGCTTGCTGGCTGAACTCGTGATCTCTGATGACTTATTTGCACTTGCTTTCCCGTTTGCCTGTTGATAGATCTTGTACAGGGCCTTGTTTCGCCTCCCTTCTTCGCTGACGTGCTCCTTCCTTACGCGGGCTCTGGTTTTCGTTTGGTATTGTCTCTTTTCCTTTCATATCGAAGTTTCTTTCCTTCCGGCTCCGCCACTCTGGATTCTTTCCTTTTTGTTCCTGAAAGTATAATCTTAGACGTTGAGGGCCCATTTCTTGTGCTTGGCGCTTCCTGCAAAATATCCCTAAATATAGGTATTTCATCGCGCTCATTGTATTTTTTTACTTTATCCACACTAGCAGTGATGTTCATTGAGTATTCTCCTTTCAGGTATAACATTGTCCCACAAATACGGTCTATCGTAAGTGGCCTTTGAAAATGAAGATAAAAATTAGATATTTTCTCTTAAGCAGCGCAAAACACGGCGTGTTTTAGTTTAGAAACTTTGTAGAGACATCAGGTATTTTTTGGAAGCAGGCATGAGAGATTGAAAAATATGCAACGCCTTCGCCGGAAATCGAACCGCGGACCTCTCAATTACGCGTGCAGACCTTTACGTTGACTACTACTAATTGAACGGACAGACCACACTACACCACTAAGGCTCGCTAAGAAGGCGGGAGAAATACCTTACAACTCTATCGCCGACCTTGAGGTTAAAGTCTCTTCTTTTCCTATCATAATAATTTTTTTGTTTTGCTGTGTCTGAATTTCTTATTGCCTTCTCTATCATTTTTTAATATCATTTTTAACTCTGCCTTCTTACCCTGCACAAAGAACAGTTTATATAAAGGCGTTATTATTTTTCTCAACAAAAATAACTCGCAACAAGTTTTCCCAATGGTATTGTACTTAGCCGTTCTCAGGGCAAAAGCCAACACATTAACGCAGTCATCCCAGCGTCTGTGATAAATTTTTCCATAGCTACGAATGATTTTTAACAATATTCCTATTTACGCACTCGACGATATTTGACTGAGATCTGTAAGGGACCGTCTTTAGGTGGAATATGCCAAGCCCTGCACACAGATCTTCGAAAATTTGGCTGATAAATTAGGGCTATTATTTGATATTACCCTATGTGGTGCACTATATTTTACAATATATTTATTTAGAAATGAATCAGATACAATTTTTGCTGAGGCTCTTTTAAGGGAGACTATTTCTACCCACTGCCGCCCAGTCGGTATAGTGGTCAGGGAAGCTGACTGCGATGCGAAAGTCATGGTTCGAATCCCGAGAAGGAGGTGTAATGTCCGTCCTCATAGGAAAGGCGAAGGTGGCTACGATAGGTGCCTCCATAATAAGAGACCACACATCGCCTGCATAGATAATGGACTGGGTTACATTTGTAATTGTTCACAATCTGCCATTGGAAAAAAAAAAAATGTACCCACTTCGAGAAATGATCGACAATAACTAGTAGATATATATTTTTATTACTTTCACTTTTCGGATATGCACCTAACAGATCTAGCCGTATTCTATCAGTGGGAAAATATCTAAATCTTATACTATTTAGATAACCGGCTGGGCTATAATTTACATTGTTAACTAATTGGCACGTATGGCAGGACCTGACATACAGGTCCATCACAAATTTAGCTATGTAAATTTGCGGAAAAATGACCGCTTCGCGCACTCTCTGCGCCGTTTTTCGAAAGCCAAGATAACGAGCAGTAGGTGCATCATGTAATTCATTCAATATGCTAAGCCGCAACCTGGCTGTGATGACAGGTCTTACCTCACTATTCTCGTTTATTGTTTTAGTATGAAATAAGAGTTTATCGATTATTTTGTCATTTTCTGCTCTATTCCTGATGACCACTATATCCGAATGTTCGAAGTTTTCCGGATCTTGCAAGTATGCATAAATATGCCTATACTCTGGATCAGTTTGTAATTCAGAAATAATAGTTTCACTGGAATCTAAGATTTTTGAAGTTAACATATAACATTTTATTTCTTTTCTTTCTTCGCTTAGTTTTATTTGGGACAAAGCCTCGGCCACGATGTTTTCTTTTCTATGCTTGTTATTGATTATTAAATTGTGTTTCTTTAATTTTAATGACCCTCTGCTCAATCGCGGTGACAAATTATTTGAGTATAATCGACCCACCGCAGCGTGTTCAGAATATACGATTATCGGTGTCTTACCAAAATATAATTTAACTTTCTATACTTTTAAAGTACGCCCAGTGTTTCTCTCTCCGTAGCCGAATAGTTTCGCTGGGTTTGATTAAAGGTTTTGAAAAAGTAAGCCACGGACTGATACGTTTGAATCAAAACTGCGCCTACAGCGTAGTAGGCTGAGGTTAGCGTAGCAGCTTAGTAGGCGTAGTAGGCTGAGGTTATTTTAGGCACGGAATTCCTCCCGCTGTCTTTAGGAATTCCGTGCCTAAAATAACCTCAGCCCGTAAATTACGCACAAAGAAAAATATCGATTTTTGAATCAAATTCTTAACTTGTACACTGAATGTCGCTTTACCTACATATGCACAGTGTTTGCTCTAGACTGCAGTAACTTTCGTAGTTTGAACTTTAAACAATGTATACTTCTTAATTTTTCAAAAGAAAATTTCCGAAATAAAATTAGCTTGCGCCCCAGTGAACAACACGGCCTCCGTTGGCACATTATTCAATAGAAACTGTATAACAGGTAGGTCCAAATTTCATACTGTTACCGTGTTTAACTGTATTTTCAAGGGAATTTTATATGAGCGGGAAGACTGCACCCTCTTTTCAGCAACACGGTCTAGTTTTATGGATGTTTTACTGCTCTCTGTTTAGAAACTTGCGGCCTATTTTACCGATCTCCTTTCTTTTTATCGTGAAATTTATTCCCGCCGTTTAATCTTCGTGTTTGTTCCAAATTCGGTCTAGAGAACTGTCCGCTTAATCTTTGGCCATAACCTCTTGTACGTTAACTTTCTGCAAACAGCATACTGTCAAACTTTACAGTCAGTTCAAACAATCGTTCCAGGGTACTGGGGTTTCTCAATTCGACAAAATCTTGGATCTGAGGCAATAGCCGGGGCAAAATAATCTGAATTATTTCAGGATCGGGCCTTTTCCTGTACAGCAAATTAGTAATTTGGGCCTTGCGTAAAATGAATTCAGTTAACTCCTTAACTTTAAATTCGACTTCGAGTTTGGTTCTGTCTTTGGCCACGGGGGATGCTTTTAGGAAGATATTTTTGAAAATTTTTGGAACCTGTATGTTTCGCTGCCTATTTCAACCAGTAGGAATTTTCTGATTCTTTAAAGCAGCTTAGTACCCGTCCTCGTAAAGCAGGTTTATCTTTTAGCTATAGTTGTCTTCTGAAATTTTGGGACGGGGTACAACAGAAAATGATTGCCCAGCTGTTAAAGGACGCTAGTGACCAATGTTCTTCAGTCGGATGTCCCTGCGGATTTCATGGATGGCAGCATTGTTTCAACGAGGAAGCCAAACCCTTCCATTATATTACCAGGCGCCGGTGCAGTTTGCGATGTAGATAGGACCAGCTGAAATTTAAGTTTATTTTCAGGCATGAGTTCGGATTTTATTGGGCGCTGGTTTTAAGATCTTACCTTCTTAGCTAACATACAGTTAAAATGATTTTCTGAAGGAACCTGGCGACTTCTGCCGCAGACGTACAAGGATACCAACACAGAAGAAGAATAAAATAACCCTTTATTATTCCCCAGGCTTTGAACATAAATGCACGTACTTCGTGCTTACAATAACACCGACGACTTTCGGTAGAGCTTAAGAACAGTTGCACAATAATTTCAAAGAGTTGTGCTGGACTAACAATTTAATTTAATGCTAATGAATTAAACTTTTTCAAGAACCTACCCGGCGATGTACTCATTAAATGGCCAAAAAGGCATATCATAACCTCAGCATAACAGTAAGGACAAACTAGTAACGTGCACTGGCTAGCGAAATCACGCTCTAAATAAACTATAGAATTCGTCTGACTTTATACTCATTTCACTGACCTTTAATTCTGCATCCTAGCGAAGAAATGCGAGGATAACATGAGAGGTTCAGGAAAGGTACTAAAAATAATAGGAAACCCTACATCGTAAGGTATGCACCATTCTTCAGATATAAACTCAGCTTTCTGTGAAAAGTTTCTACCTTTTTTTACTTCGATGTTTACTATAATACGACGAAAGAACCCTGTTAAATTTTGATTACATCTCATATAAACAGATACAAAAGCTTACAAAATGCTCCATTTAGTATGCAGAGATCTGCAATAGCACATTCGTGCTTTTATTTCAAAGGTCTTTTAATTTCACAACGGCATTTTGTAGCGTTTCACCATAAACGGGGAATCACTTTTTAAATTGTTTATCCGCCAAATATTATTTCCCTGTATTATATTTTATGAAATTAAATAGTGAAGAATCAGCATCAGTGTATATATGTTTCTCGCATTATGAATAAACGATGGTACCTAGAGCCATCACATTTTGAATAACGTAATCCTCCACCCGAATACGGGAACATACGCCCGAATTTCGCTTTTTAATTTGTGTATGACCTCTGAACATGATTTCAAATTTTATAATTAAATATTGTGGTAAATTGTTGTCGTGCGAGATTTCATATTTATTATTTTTTAATAGCAGGCATGTATACTTTTACTAAATATGACAAAACTATATATGACAGGGGGCCTGGAAGCCGCATAAAAGGTTCCATTTTGTAAAATTTACAAAATTGGAATTTTTACCTTAAAAATTCCATAATATGAATATGTGTACTATTTAAAGCCTTTTTTTAAGTGGAACAAAACACTTACAATCAACGGTTTCGAAAATAAAGGTCACACAAAGACTTATTGGGACCGGTGTATATCTATGTGTGAGATATAACTGTATTTACTATTTATAAACTATTTTTTTACTGTTTTCAGTATCCTTGTTTTGTGGAGATCGAGAAAAAGCTGAGGCAAAGAACTGTAAGTTGATATTGCATATTACTTTTGTCGTGAAATAATTTCTTTTCTTTAATAACCCTGCTAAAAATGCCCCATAGAAACCAGTAAAACTTTTTATGGGTACCCATAAAATTCCATGGGTTTCTGCTGACTTTTAATGGTCTTGGGGTTTTCGTACTTGTGTCAAAATGCCCCAAAGAAACCAGTAAAACATTCTACTGGTAACCATAGAATTTTGTTGGTGTATACTGACTTTTACTGGTTTCTATTGATCTCTGTGGGTTTTTCTTACTGGTATTAGTTGACAAACATACAACCAACATCAATGTCAAAACTTTCTACTGGTTTGTATTGGTTTATATTAACTTTTACTGGTTTTCTTACTGGTATCAATGTAATAGAAATAGATGCCAAATAAATCTTCTGTTGGCTTTTATAGATTTATGCCAATTTTCTAGCTGACCTTAATAGACTTCTTGTAAACAATAAAATTAATTACTGGTATCACCAAAAAGCATTGGTATTCTTGCTGTCTACTGATTATTTTAAATTATTTAATTTATTACTTTTATTTCAGTTATTTGATGCTGTTGAAAAAAAGGTTATTTTAGTTTGGCAACCAAAAGAAAGCTTTAAAGTTAAAAAAGCATACAGTGAGCCCTCTCGTCTCCACCCCTTCTCTGAGATGAACAGTATTTCTAAGAATGAAAATATGATCTCTTTAAGATCATTAGGGAAACCTGGAAACGCAGGTGGTCGTTTTAGAGAGAGTGTTTTTACTAAATATGCTTATTTATTTGATTTTAAAAAACCTTTTATCGGAAACAGTAACAATAATCATATACACCATACACAACGGGGTCTCTCTAAGGTGACCAGCGGCAAATAAAAATGTATGTTTGCAAATGGTCTCCTTACATTGGTGATGCCCAATATCAATATATACTCATGTTCTCAGAAATACATTTATCTTTTAGAGGTTGCCTTTACGAAATGAATCTCTCTAAGGCTATCAGCCACACTTCCAGAATTTTCTTTGTGAATGGTTGTCTTAGAGAGGGAATGTTCAATACCAAAATATACCTATGTTTTCAGGAATACTGGTCCCTTTCAGAGGCAGTGACGTCAGGGAGGTGGTTTTGCCACGAGTTGGTTCGCTGAATACACACACACGCACTTGCATTTCTGCTATTACAAATAAACACCGGTATCAACCATCGTCTCACCGGTATCAACCTCATCAACGAGACCACGTTCATTCACAATCGCAAAACTATTATTCTCCGTGTTAATGCTGACGTGAGAAAAAAAATTCCCCTCCCTCCCCCTTAAAAGTTTCCCAAACAAACAATATGGCGCCGTACTTGTTAATGTTGTTATGCGATGTTTGTGTTGTGGTCTGCCCAGATAGTAGGCTATAGTAATGCAATAAGTAATTTACTATATTACAAATTTTACTATGTTTTACTATTTAGATATTTATGATGAATAATAAAATACCAGCACTGTGCATAAAAAAGCAATTACCACTAAAGCCATGCACGTGTAATCAAGTCTAATGTTTGAAAGAACTTTACTGATAGTCGACCAGTTTTGAAACGGAGTTTCTGCGCGTGAAATTTATTTTCCATCTTTAATTTTATCTTAAAAACAATATGCTTAAAGACTGAAAAGTGATAATTTCAGACTTGATAATTTGGCTCAGTGTGTTTACATCAGATGCACAAATTTATTTCCCGGCTTCCAGGGAAAAACTATGTAAGACCTCGGAGAGAATGAGTTCTCAGCTTTTTAGTTCAGAGTTAGATATCTGTGCGAGTTATGCTCTTTACATCGCTTTGCATTGCGTTCTGTTTAACATTCTTAGTAGTTTAAAGTGGTAACTACTGATTGTGCTGTTTCGTACTGAGATGAGGTGTGCAAATAATTTCGTGGAAAGTGTTTATATTATGAAAATAAATTTTATCAAGCTATCATTGGTCCTGTGGGCATTCAATTCATTACAAACCCGAACCGAAGCAACAGTTAGTTAGTTAATTAACCTCTGGGTGCAACCCGCCCGCCTAGCGAATATGAATTTACCTTCTAGCCAAAAATGGGCTGCACCCGACAGAATGCGCATAAAAGCATTATAAAAATGCTAGTCAGTTTCAGCATTTGCATAAAATTTGTCAATCATAATTTTTGGCAATTTTAACACTGTACTCAAAATTTCTATTAACTACACCAGGAATAATAGATACATCACTATTTCATGAGAGGAACCATTAGAAACTAGTGAATTGTTAGTATTTTCTTTTCTCTTAATAATTTAGTGCCTCAGATATTCCATTTTGCAATATTTTTATCGTATTCCAGGGCACTTTCCATTTGAATTTCAAAGTCGTTTATATCAGTTAAATCTCTAATTATTTTGTTTATCTTGTTTATTTTATTTCAGAGAAGCCGCCTTTACTTTTTTAATTTCTAATTATTCTTCTATATCTTCAATATTATAAGAAGCAATTAAAGATTCAATAGAACCTTTTATTTTAGTTATGTCTGAAATAATAGCTTTCCTTTTTTTCTCAAGTTTCTCAAGTTCTATTTCTGTTACGACTAAACTCCAGTTTCAAACATAATAAATTAAACAAAACACTTTTTACATCTTCTTACGAGTCAGTTACGTTTTACTAGACATTCGCAATTCATTTGAAATACACGTAATCGCGAAGTGAGTTTTTGATACATTTAACATAGACGTGACCTGATGTGGGCGTTTTCCTAAAGGCGGCATAAGACAAACATTTTATTATAACGCGAACGAAATAACTCGGCATAATTTATATGAATTTAATAACGTAGTGTTACTTTTGGCTTGCAAGTGACGTATCTATGTTTTGTTGTAACATTCTCTTCTAAACAATCTCATGTAAATCAATCTTCGTATCATGTAGGCAGAGCCAGATTTAGACTTGATAAGGCCCTAAGCTATTTGAGATATGGGGCCTTTTACGAGTCTATTATACTATATTTATACAATATTTTTATTTTTTGGGGGAGCCCTAAAAGAAAGTGGGGAGCCTAAGCTATAGCTTCTGTAGCTTATACGTAAATCCTGAATTGCACGTAGGGAAGTTAGGAGAGCGTGCACCGCTCGGCTAAAGTGCGCATGCGTAGTATTCATCATATCATGGGAGCCGTTTTGGCGTTCGTACGCTTTTTTTTGAATTAACACTAAACTACAGAAAAAAAAAGGCACTTCTCAGTTTGATTATTGCACATCCTGTGATATCATTTCCATTTCCGAAAATCAAGTGTTCCGTGGCATCACTTTCATCCGTGTTAACATCCCTCAAGCTCGTGAGGAGCGGTTAGGGGAAACCTTTATCCGATAGTTGGACCCAGATGCCTGATGAAGGAGTTTAGCCACAGGACGCCATTTCGTCTAATGGCCAATATATGTTTAAAATGAAAGAATCTTTCAAGGATAAAGGATTTCGTAAAACTGTCTCATCATCAAATGACACTATACAGCAGGTAAAAATTAGTGCTGAATCTTAATGAAGTTACGTGATCTTTATATATTTGTTCTGTTTTTCAGGATGAATTGAGAAAAAGTCCAGTGACAGCACGTGAATACAATGCAATGGAGTCAGGCAGAGTAAGTATACTTAAAAGGGCAATCTGAATTTATCAGCGTATCGTGGTTCAATCAGTCAAATAAAGTTATATCTCTGCAAAGTTATATCTCTGTGAAGTATCCTACTCTACGTCTTTTAAAATGAATTTTATTCAATATTACAAAATATCACTTTCATTTATTTATTTATCTTTGGTTTCATATTCTAATCGTTTAAACAATATGAAATGTGCGACTTTGATAAATTAAAAACTAAATAGCGAACTTTTCTTATTACATTGACCACTACGGAGTTATTAACTAATACGGAGAACTTTCCACTTTAGTTTCCAACTTTTTCACTATAGTTTAAAAGAATATTTTAAAAAATTACATAAGTATGCATATTTTCTTACTGATGTTTAAATAACATACTAAATTGCAAGGGCGGCTACAATGCGGCTCCAGTAAATGAGTTGAGCGCTCATATGCAAATATAATATATGAATGAAATAGGGTAAACTAAAAGCTACTCAGTACCCAAAAGAAAGTATTTAAATTAGTTAATTTTTTTACAGTGTTATTTGTAAACTTATGCTGATCAATTTCCTAATATAATTATTTTCTTTCATTTCTTGTTAGTTAAGAAACTTAATAATGTCATTCACAAATAGAAAAAAATAAAATAAAAATAAACCATTGTACTCATTCTATCGAACAATTTTATGAAGAAAATCTTTAAAAGTTAAATTTGCTTGTGGATGCTAAAAGAATGGATGAATGGATGCTTGTGGATATTTTATAGGAACAGTCTCCCGAATTTTGGAAACATTAGTAGCAATAGAAACTAAATTGGGTTGGTCTGTGAGCGAAACATGAAACGAAAGTACTGCATCAGAAATATTTAATATCATGCAGAATTTGATAAAAGTTAAAAATAATTTAGAAGTGTATTCCACGTTCGAATTAATGAGAAATTTATAACAATTGAAAGCTTTGGCAATTTCTAATAAATATGAGGGCAATCAAAGTTTTAAAGATGAGGCTACCTTTAGAAAGATTTGTGAATTCATAAAAATTTGTGGACCACACATTTACGGCTTGCTTGCCTTGGAACAAAAATCCAGGGGAATTACATTTTTGAAATACTGTGACGCAGATTGGAGAAGAATCCGAAATTTTATGAACATTACAAATTTGCATTATATCAGCATTCAGGGAAAAATACTGAAAACGAGTACTTTTCATCCCATCTAGCTGTTATTAGGGAAAATACCAGAAACCTTTGCGTTGTCTTGGATGACGCATTATTATGTGTTGTAGGTAAACTAGCCCTGAATGTTTATTTAAAATCGGATGTTTATTTCGATTTGAAACATGTTTCATTACTAAATGATAAAAAAATATGACTTTTAGCTTTTGTAGAAACTAGTTGCCGCTCTGGAAAGATTCAGAATTCCGACGTGCGGCTCTTACTGACATGAAGTTTAGTACACGTTACTATATTTCTTCCTTTAATGAAGATTCTTAAAGAAATTTGATTCATAATTGGTTAACGATAAGATTGAAAGATTTCATTCAAACCTCAGCTTCCGGAACTAATTTAAATATTATTGAGAATTTAGAGAAGAACATATATTTCCGCTCCTGCTCTTTTTTTCCTTTTAATGCTTAGCCCTAAAACTTTTTAATTTTTTTCAGATTAATTGCATCTCAGCAAACTATTAGTAAATCTTACTTTTTAAGGGAAACTGCATTTGTACAACGCTTTATTCCTGCCTTTTTGTAACCCAATTTGTACTCTTTTAGAAAACTGTATCGCACTTCGAAAATTATGCAAATTAATAAACTGAAATACATATATATATCACAAACTTAGAACTTCTGAAAACTTTTTTTTATGGCCACGCATTTTATATTCCTTATAATTTAATTCGTTGTACATTGTTAATAAATTTAAGACCTTTTCTCTTGTGCAAAGATGTTCCCAACGATGCTTCTTTTTGATGAATTTTTATGGAGCCCGACTTTTCTGAATTTCTGTTTGAAACTTTTCCTTTTTCTAAGAAATAAACTGCCAGATAATGAATAATCGCCTATTTAATTAAGTGGTTACTTCTTCGTCAGAACCCTTTCTGCCACTGTTTTCTAGATTTGTCATTTTGATTGCAACAGTGAAGTGAATCGTAATAAGACTACGATACAAAATAATATCTGCAAAAATGGAAGCTCTGATGCTAAGACCGCGAAAGCGCCATTCAGGTAAGACAAATACTCAAAGGAAAACAAAAGAAGGATTGTATTGATGTTCGAAAATTCGGGAAAATCAGCTGAAAAAAAGCATTGAAACTGGGCGTTCGGGTGACGACTCTAATTTCGGATGGAGGGAGTTTTGATCGGTTCAACTGCGAAAGAGTGATGTGCAGTATAGTATAACTATAGTTAACAGACATTCCATTTTAGAGTACACGCCTATTACAAAGCTTTTCTTAGATTCCTGGGCCCGTCGAAATAGGAAAGCAATTTGATTCATAATAGGACATTAAGGGACCATTTAGAGGACGGTTATCTTAATGCATAAATACTTTAATCCCACGACTGACGCTAGTGAGATTTACATTTCTGTAAGTTTGCTTCCTTTGAGTAACTGCCATTTAATTCAGATTGCATATAGACATTAAATTAGTTTTTCCGATTTCGAAAATTAGCAAATCAATATTGATTAATATGTGTTGAAAAAATATATTACATATTGTATAATCAATGTAAAATTAGATACTATTTTCTCTAAACGTTTTTTTAAGTGACATTTTTTACTTCCAGACCTGCATTGTGCCTAATTTCTACAGGTGTATGGACAACCCAGAGGACTGCTTTTAAAGTACGTTTACGGCTGCATTTATTTATTTGGCATGCTTGGTTATATAGTTAGAAAAATTATTACGTTACATTCTAATTACGTTTTCTTAAATTTTATAACTTATCCATGCTCTCTAATTCATCTAGTTAAACGACATCGGAAATTTTTTAAATTCAAATTTTTATGTTTTTTAAACTGAAATTATTAGCTTTCGTCTCAATATAAATATAAAGCGAGTATCAAGAATAATTGTGCATTTGAATTTCGAATCCTCAAATCTTCTAATTTTGTAAAAATCCGCAAATGGTTAAAGATTTGAAAATCCGGAATCTTAGCTTTCGAACTGTCATACAAAAATCTTCTAACGTTTCACCTCAAAACATTTGATATATTAGTTTTATTGATATGTAACAGAAACCGTCGTAAAGAAGCAATTTTTCAGTTTCATTGGACCTGAATTACCAACATGAGCTATTTGACCCTCATGCTTGAGTTCCTGAGGCTGAGCATTGTTTAGAGTGAACAGTGCATATATGGAACGGTCGTTATTTTCGAATACTTTATATATTTAATTGCCCGGTAACGAGTGGCATCCGTCTACTCATAACGCCTGCTGAAAACTGCGAAGCATGGACTAATAATATTTGTAAGAATAATTGTGCAATCAGTCATATCCAGAAATAAACAAGTCTATTACTCTCGAACTCTAAGAGACTGCACGAATAGGCAGTATCTCGTCTGCAAAAACACCTTGTCTCTCTCATCAGTTGCAGCACACTCTTTCATCTCCTAGTTCAGTACTATGCATTTAATTTATCTTCACATGTTTATTAAATTATTTTTCAATACAATGATTTTTATTATATAATGCATCTTCTTTTGTTTATTCTAAGGTTATATTTTATATGTTGTATTTTATTACTCTTACATAATATGTGTTTACTTCTTATTAATGTACCATATTTAGTTGTGTGCATATCTATTGTAAGTGTGCCATGCTTCGTTACATTATTATTCTAGGCATGATTGTTGGTAATTTACGACTTACCATTGAGCATTCTCAGAGTTGATACTAAAGATTTTTTTTTTTAAATTTCATTCGTGTCTTTTTCATCCTATTATTTTCTAACAATTAGATCTTGGCCAGCTAGCTTATCTCCCCAAAACGGATTATTTTCCCTCATGACTGTACTTCGAAATAATATACAAAAGCAGTCACTGAGGACATGAATTCAATGAAATCTCAGTTAGAACTATTAACAAGTTACAATCACATATCCCAGATGGGCCAACTGCTTTGTTAATGGGAAAATGTAAATTTAATTTTGTCTCAATGGAAGTCTTCTGATTAATACGCAAAATTTCCCACGAAGCAAAGTTAAAGAAATTTCTTCTATTATCTCATTTATAATGAAAAATGTAGTAATAGGCTTATGTCGTATATCTTGATTTTACATTGCTTTAAATTTCAGTTGCGTCACTTCCACTTGGCCTTGATAATATACGACTTACATCTGTACAATCTTCCAAGAAAGTAGAAAATGATTGAAGCTTCTTTTTGTTAAATAAGATGTCAAGAAAGCTATGAATAAAAAATTACTTTATCATGAGTTTGTAATACGTTACATTCCTACTCAAAGAAGATTCGATTATTTTATTATGAATCTTATACAATTTGTACAGGCAAATACTCACAACTATTTAAAATTCAGACCAGTAATACTCAGAATTGCGCATGTTTCACAGTTGCGTAGAAATCAGATACAGGTAGCCCTCCTACAATACAGCATCTTGTAATACGGTTTCGCTATAACACGATTCATAAATTGCAAGAACCCACCTACAACACGGTTTCGCTCTAACACGATAAGAAAATTGCCCAAGCAATCCGAAGAAATTTAACGAACTCCGCATAAAGTTTTTCCATATTTGTTCAAAACACCCATATATTCATTTAACACAAAAAAAACTTTGCTTTGTAAGTTCTGCCAATTGTCTTCCAAGATCCGGTTGTTATATAACTGTGTTTCAACTTTGCCGGTAAGTTTTCTTGCGAGTCACGAGCCATACGTGAGCTACTTGAGCCCTATCCTTGAGTGTGCATATATGGAACACAGAGAGCACAGTGCATATATGGAACAGTGAATATATGGTCGTTATTTTCGAAAACTATATATTTAATTTCGTCGAAACGAGTAGCGTCCGTCTACTTAAACCGTCTTCTTAAAACTGCGAAGCATGAACCAATACTTGTAACACTATATTTGCAACGAGTCATATCCAGAAATATACAAGTGTTACTCTCTAACTCTAAGAGACTGCAAGAATAGCCATTTACAAAATAGTCGTCTGCAAAAACTCCTTTCTCTCATCAGTTGTAACACACTCTTTCATCGTTTAAAGTTCACGCATACTGCGCATTTAATTTATTCTGTCCTGCTTATTAAATTATTTTGCAATACAACGATTTTTTATATTATATAATATAGCTTCTTTTCTTTTTTTTTCTAAGTGTACACTTTATTTGTCCTATTTATGTTACTTTAGCATAATATTTGTTTACTTCTTATAAATGTACCACATTTAGTTGTGTTTGTAAATGTGCCATGAGTAGTTGTAATATTGTTGTGGGTATGCTTATTGTTAAGGTGCAGTTTATTGTGTGATTTTATTCTCAGCTTTGATACTAACTTTTTTCAAAATTTTATTCATAACTTCTTCCTTGTATTATTTTCCAACAATTATTTCTTAGCCAGCTAGCTTATCTCTCCAAAAGGGTTTATTTTCCTTCATGGCTGTACTTCAAAATAATATACAAAAGCAATCACTGGGGAGATGAAGCAATGAAATCTCTGTTAGAACTGTTAACAAGTAACAAGCATATATCCCAGATGAACCAGCTGCTTTGTTAATGGGGAAATGCAAATTATTTTTCTCTCAATGCAAGTTTTTGTTTAGTACTCAAAATTTCCCGCGAAGCGGAATTAAAAAGAATGATTTCTGTGATCTCATTTATTATGAAGAATACTTTATAAACTTATGCGTACATATTTATTTTACACTGCTTTAAATTTCAGGTGCTTTACTTCCACTTGATCTTGATAAGATACTACATACATCCGTAGAACCTTCCCAGAAAGAAGAAAATGGTTCACATTTCTTTACGTAATCTGTGTGTCAAGCATCATTTTGTTAAATAAGATGTCAAGAAATCAATGAATAAAAACTAATTTAGAAAGAGTCTCGTGTGTTTTTTAATACTTTATATTTCTTCTCATGGAAGGTTCGATTTTTTTATTATGAAATTTATATGATTAACATAGGCAAGTACTCACAATTATAGAAAATTCGACCGGTAATACTCAGAACTGCGCATATATCACAGTTAATTAGAATTCAGAAAAATCTAATTTAGATCCACTAAAGTCTCACATTTCTGTCACTTAAATTTAGGATTTCCAATACATTTAGATATCTACAATTCAAGGTTACTGCGTGAATTAATAATATTTTTAATGTACAGCAAGCATGTCAAACTCTTGGGCCTCATAAGGTCCTTCAATCATTTTCATGAGAACCTAGATTCACCCCGAGAAATTAACAAAACAATTCATTATATTATACTAATAAAAGTTGGAATTCGTTCGAGAAGCAAGTCTCCAGTTAACACAAAGCTGGTTGAAGAAAACATATGCTTTTTTCTAGGAAATAATACTTAATATTTTAGAACCTATGTAATAAAGTAAAATATCAAGCGGACATGCATTAATGAAAACATATCCATTGAATATTGATAAAACAGCAAAAATAAAAAACAAAGGAACACACACAAAAAAAAAAAAAAAAAGATCACCAAGCCAACGCGCGCTCTTTTTTACTCTCGCCATATAGCTCGAGCAGTTTAATTTGAATCAACCTGTAGTTGCCGTCTAGTTTTGAAAATGCGGGGCTAAACATCCCGCCCACCACTGAAATATTGTTTCAATTAATTACAATTTTTAACACAAACATTTTAAACATAGTAGGATGCAAACATTTTTAAAGCTGCTAATCAAATTCATACTCAACAGCCTATATCAATTAATAATTTGTATCATACTTAAGAGTTTATTATATTCATGGTCTAGTATAGGATAAAGCTTAACGATAGGTCTCTTGAGTTATCTGTGCGCAGTTCGTACCGTTATCACACGGATTTTACTGTCATTTCCAAGATGGAAATCTAATGACTTTTAACATACGCCACAACACTGGTGGAATGTTTTCTTCTTTGAATAAAACAAAATCGTCGACCTGAAAATCTCCTTATGTTCTTTATCACTTAGGAGGTTGTTGCAGTTGGGAAAGACCTCTTGACCATCTCTTCCAGAAATGTTGTAGGTCGGATTGAAGCAATTGCTATCTTTGTCTATAGAAGATAGGCTTTTGCAAATGCTTTTGCTCTGATAAAGTAGAAACTGGAGCTCCAGTCAGAAAGTGGTTCGGTGTGAGAACTTCAAAATCTGCAGGATCCTTAGACATTGCTTTCAATGGACGTAAGTTCAAGCGGTAATCGACATCAGTGATGAGTGTAATGAGTGTAGTGAACTCTGGATATATTAATATTGCAGATCCTACACTTCGACGAAGTTGATGTTTCATCGACTTGACGGTTGATTCCCATAAAACGTCAAACAAAAATTTTTAAGCAACTAAAAACTTTGCGAATGCTTTCCTAAGTTCTCTATTTCTCTTCTTCATTCATTTTGACTGTTTCCAATAATGCTCAATTTTCCATATTTCATATCATTTATGAAATTTATTATTTGAAAAAATTGCAAAAGTGCTTGCGAATTAAACACGATTCATATTAATAAATAATGCATTCGAGCCAAAAAGATTTTTAAGGCTGAAATCTTTTGCATAAACAGTTTTAGAAACATTTATAAATCGTAGACCCTAGCCAAAGATACGAGAAAATATCTGCTTTCGAATACATCAACGTTCAAAGTAATATATAATATTTCATACCTACATCGAATATATATGCAGAAAGTGGACACTTTTCTGCGGCAACACATCGCTTTGGTCCTAAAATTGACCCTTGAGGGCGTCACTGTTTATAAGCCGCTTCTGTGAAGGTGCATCACCCACTCGTACTTGAAAAGTACGTCGTTTTCAATAAAACTTGATGAGATTAATAAAGTTAACAGGCAGTAAGAAGTTAGTTAATTTGTACAGTAATACATTGTGCCATATCTTGTCGAATACTTTCTCGAACTCGACAAGGCAAGCGGCAACTCCGGCTCTGTGAAAAAATGTATCAGATGTACTCGTACATTTATTCAGGTTCAAGATTTGATGATTTGATGATGTGCCATGTGATTTTCGAAAGCCAAATTGAGATGTGTCAGTGAACTCCAATCTCTCCAGATGATCACTCAGTCCTCGGTTGATAGCTCTTTCAAAAAATTTTCCAACTGTAGGTAGGAGGCTAATGGGTCAGTAACTAGACGGTAAGGTCGGAATTTTTCCTGGTTTAAGTAACCTGATGACAATCGAGTGCTTCTACTGAGATGGGAAATAGCAATTACGAATACAAGCATTAAATATATTAGCCAGGAGTACAAAAAATCTTGTAGGCAGCGCTTTAAGTGCCTGATTACTAATTCCATCATAACCTTTAGCTTTTTTTACTTTTAAATTTTTGACAATTTGCTGAATATCTCGGTGAAACACTTGATATAAAATTCGTGTTTTCTCTGTCATCCAGATGCAAAACAGTTTATTAATTTCTTCTTCATGCTCTAAATCAAAAGTTGGATTAGATTGAAAAGTCATTTGCTTTAGAGTGATATCTAGTACCTATGTGATTGATCGCTGAGATGTGATTTATCCGCTCCTTCCGCATAGAGCTTGCAATTTTCCATAAAGCGTCTGGGTCTGTTTCCTTATTATCAATAATTTGTTTCCAGCAGTCCGAATGCTAATTACTATTATCAGTTGAAATTTTACGAGTGAGATAGTTTATTTCATGCTTAGTAGCAGGGTTTTGACAGAGAGTCAAGAATTTACATAGCCTATTTCTTCTTTTAATAGCAGTTAAAATGGAGGCCAGAAGTCGGACGGTCTTGGGTTTTCTTTCTACATAGGATGAGGCTTTGATAGCATCTTTAATACGTAATATAAAGCTGTAAATTGCATTTTCAGTATCTCCACAGTGCCCGAATTTTATAACTCAGAATTCACAAAATTTATATCATCTGAAGAATTATATAATCGTTGCCACTCTATTCAAATACTATAATAAATCTAAAACATTGTATAAAAGAAATTAAACAAACCAAAAAAAAAAAAAAGAAAGAAAGAGTTTTTCAGAGATGATTCAGTATTTCTCATGCAATTAATTCATTCCATTTCGCGACAAGGAAAAACATCAAACTCAAAATATCTATATTAAATTTACGAAGTAATTTAAACACATATCTCCTCGAAAAATTGAAGAATGATTAAGCTGATTTATTCGATAAAAACGTCGTTATCTTGTGTTGCGAAGCTTCGTTTAGTGATTGGCAACAAATCCATATTCTGTAAGTGCAAATGTAAACAACATGGTGCTATAGTAAAAATAAATAGGCTTAGTCACCCAAACAACTTTTAAATTGTTTTTGATGCAGCAGATGATAAAGAATAGAAACCTTTACCGGAGCTAAGAACAACATATCAATCATTTTAAAAAAAAATACACATTAAAAACAAGAATAAAGAAACTGACTTCATTGAGCCGTAACAGAATGATACTTATATATATATATATATACTTTAGGTCGGCGATTGCAACCAAAGTAGAGGTACACATAACATGTTACAGCAGTCCATATACAAAATTTGAACGTTTGAGGTTAATCGTTGTGAGTTATGCAATATCTATAAATATAGTAAGTAGTATAACGCACACGACGCCACGAAGATCTCTTCAGAATGATTTTAAATCAGTTTTAAATTTTTTGGGGATAATGTCATTATTTTTACCTTACGAACATCACACAAAAATACCGTTAAATGGCATTCGATAGCGGTCAAAATGGATATTTTCGTTCAAATATGATACACGAAATTTTTCGCGATTACAGTACTTCCTTTTTACTTCGTACAAGGAAGTAAAAAAGGAAAAGTGAAAAATATTTTATTGGATACATTGATCTGTCAACTTGAAATTCAAAAGAATGATCGCAATAGTATCAAAAATTAAAACTAAAGGCATTTGACACCATTTCAAAATTTCATTTGTTATGCAAGAAGATATTTCTTAAATTACTATATGAGAAAAATTACAGAGCCCTGAATTGACAGTACTGGTATAATTTGCTGCCTGTAAACAAACAACTCTGAATTGTAATGATTGCTTTTTCTGTAAAAGTAAATTTACTACTGTAAAAACAAGGAGAAGCATAACGCTTTGATTATATACTGAATAAAATATTTTAGTATGATTTCGATATTATACATTTTGATAATTCATTTACTATATATTTTGTAGACCTCTTGAGATTAGAGGGTCAGTTGTCTTAGAAGATGTTATTATAGTTTCAAGTTTCTAGAGACATGAAATGAAATATTATCTCCAGTCTCATGTTTTGGTTGTTTGTAAGGTAGTCTTATCACTCTTACTCATTAAATGGTAGCTCAATATGACCGAGTTCTTCCCAAAGTTCCGCTAAATTACAGATGAATTCATCAATGGGCTAATCGGTCCCTACCACATGAGTAATTGCATATGCTGGAAATACTTTTTCGAAATACAGTTTTATCTGCGTCTTCAGACATCTGCTCCTCATTTATATATAAAGTATGTTTTTGCCTTCTAGTATAATTTATTCATTGATAAAATAACTACGTATGCTTTTACTGACAAAAGCCTACAAATATTTTCAAGTCCTTCATTGTTTCGTTTGTTTTCTTCAATCACGAATTATGCTAATATTTTATATTAACGGTTTTGTCTAAATTCCATATGTTCTAACAGCTGTTCAACAACAAACTTCCCCCAAAATGTCTCTCGTTAACAAAAGACTGCATTTTGAGTTATGAAAGCTGCATAGACATTAGTGAACTTCCTTCTGCTTAATCAAGAATGATAGTTTAATATATTCACTTTCATTGCTCGTGATTACAGCTACTACGAATAATATCCTTCAAATTTCTTTTTACAGAATAGTCTTCAGTATGTTTCTAAATTTTACTCTCAAAAT